TTTGAAATTGGTTAGAATTTCTGGTTGGACTAATAACGTGCAGGTGAATTGGCAATGGTAACAGATTTAGTGAGAAAACTGCCATCTAATTGTACAAGATTGAGAATAAAGCCTTATGAAATCCTGGTGCAATCCTAAATAGAGTTACACTGTTTTAAACCTATTGACTTAGAAGGGTGTAACTCTGCTTTGGTTGGTAGTGCTGGCGTGTTACAGGCAGAGATGTAAAGTTTCCAGAAATTTTAAATGCCATGAGGAAAAAGTGTTTTCCCCTGGCATTATTTTTTGGGGGAGAAATTCTGGGAAAAGTGTTGTGAGGTTCAATAGCCATAGCATAGCATAATTATTGACACTTCAGCTATAACAGCAGGTTTTAGTGGCTTAACATATGTTTACATGGTGATTGTATTAAGTGCAGGAATAAACATTTGGGTACATTTGCTTCAACAGCAGCCCTGACATAGAGAATGACTGAGAATTCAGTTTACATTTGAATATATTTTTTCATAGGTCTTCATGTAGACCAGGAGTGTCAGACATAAGGCCTGTGTGCTGGAACCAGCCTCTGGTGCAAATGAGGGAAGGCAGGAGGTTGTATGGTAGGTGGGTGGAGCAGGCAGATGTGTTGAGATATGTGTGATCGAAGCTGTCGAGAAATAGAAAAGAAATGGCTAGGGGGCAGGGCTAAGAGGTGGAAGTAAAATAGTGTGGGGGGGAATGGCGGTGAAGGCAGAGAAAGAGGAGCAATGGTGCTTTCCCCCCCTCCTGCTGCCTCCGACCATAGCTCAGCAAGGATTGGCAAAGCCACTATATGAGGGGGTGGAGCCAAGCAGACGGCACTGCCACTACCACACCAACCAGCTTCACATTTTTTTCAAATAGCAATTGTGAGGGGGGTTGGCAAGGGTGGGCGTGCAGAGCAACAGTTTGCTGATGAAGGGACAGGGCTGGGGGGGGGGGGGGGGGGGGAGGCCCGGCGCATGTATTGGAAGGCAGCTGTGCTGTCTTGTGTATGCTTTGTATGCTGCTCTGAGACAAAAGATGTCCTGGCCTCGAAAGTGAATGGAGGAGCAAAGGGATAAATGGCCTTGCTGTTGCTGCTACATGTCTGAACAGCTGCAGAGCCTGGACGCAGAGTGTTGAGGGGGGAGGCGACCTCCCTCTGGGTGATCCAGCTTTAGACCCCCCTCCTCCTGACCAGGGACCCTATAATCTGGGTCACCCGGGGCTGGTCGCTCAGCCTGGCTCACCTCATGTGGTTGGTGATGGTGGTGGGGATAAGGCAGTGGAGGGAGGAATCCAGTGTGCCTCTTCAAGATCCTCAGATGTAGGATGGCAAAAGAGAGGACACAAGAGCAAGAGACAGAATATAGGCATGCTTGGCTGCTGAGGTTTTTTTTTGGGGGGGGGCTGCTGAAAATCTACCGTATTTATTTGCAAGGAAGATGGCTCGTTTCCTAAAAGTGCTGTATATAAAAAAGTGCTATATATAAAAAACTATATATACAAAACATAATGAAAAGTACAAAAAGTAATGGAGACTTATAAACCATGTGAGATTCAAAAAGAAACAAGACAAGGTTGCCCACTATCCCCTCTTGTGTTTATCTTGGTTCTTGAAATATTGAATAGAAATATAAGACATAATGAGAGGATTGGGACTGTAAAGATCAAGAAAGAGACCTATAAGCTAAAAGCTTTTGCAGATGATTTGGTATTAGTATTGGAAGACCCTTTAAAGAGAATTGAATTATTAATGCCTAAATTGAAATAATTTGGTGTGTTAGCGGATTAACAAAGATGTTAACAAAACATATGAAAATACAAGAACAAATAAAATGGATGAATAAAACTGGTTTTAAGTTGGGAAAAAAGGTAAAATACCTGGGCATTATGTTGACAAATATGAATTGTATGTTATTTCAAAATAATTGTATTAAGACATGGAATTAAGTTAAAAAGGACATGTTAAGATGGGATAAAATGCAGCTTTCTTTGTTGGGGAGAATATCCGTGATTAAGATGAATGTTTTACCCAGAATGTTATTTTGTTTCAGACAATACGTTTTTTGACAACCGATGTACCATTTAAACAATGGCAGAAAGATATTTCTAATTTTGTATGGCAAGGGAAAAGAGGAGTTAAATATAAAGTATTACAAAATGCAAAGGAAGGAGGAAGCCTGGGGTTACCTGATTTGAAACTATACTTTGCTTACTTGCTCTTTAGTTTGGATGAATGAATGGGTGTCATTGAGAAGTAGAAGGTTATTGGAGTTTGAGATTTGGTTGACATGGTTATTTGTGGTTTTTAAAAACCATTATATTAGATGTGCTATTTTAAGAATATGGAATAACTATAAATCTAGGTTTTGTCCAAAAACACCCTTGTGGCTCTCTACACAAGAAGCATTTTATAGACGAGAAATGATAACTAAGCATAAATGGTTAACATATCGTGACATACGAGATTTTTTTCAAGGAGATTGTAAAATGACACTAAGAGAGGATTTGATAACAGAAGGATACACTTACCAATGTTTTTAATGCATAATTATTAGAAAGGCTTAAAGCATATAAAAGATTGCATGGTTTTGAACAGTCTAAAACTGAATTTGAAACAGAATTATGTACAACACGTTATTGCTAAAATGTATAAACTCTTGTTGAAATTTGAGATAGAGGATGAACAAGTGAAAGAATCTATGATAAAATGGGCCCCAGACTTTAGATATAATATACAAATGGAGCAATTGGGTAATTTGTGAAGGGCCTTAAGTTTATGTTTAGTTTGCAAGATAATCTCGGTTACAGAGGAGCTCCCAGTGAGGACAGAGCTGCCCCAGGGCAAGCAGATTCCCCACCACCTAGCATTCAACTGAATTTTGCTCGATGCCTCTGAAGTTGGGTTGCCACAGCCGGGGGGGGCAGTGATGGATTGCCTCCTGGGGTCCTACAGGACCCATCCTGATAGCAGGAACCAAACTAGTATACTGGGGTTTGGAGGGGAAGGCAGGGCTCAAGGCAGGACAGGGGCGGGTGGCCTGAGCCAGGCCCTGTGTCTGGGAGAAATGCAGGTCAGGGGAGGAGGAGAAGGCTGGCTCGATGGTCCTGCTCTCAGCCTCACAGGCTGGAACCCTAGAATCAGGGCAGCAGCCAAACCACTCAGTGTTGGCTCACTCATGGGCCTCGCCCCAGCTGAACGCATTGGGGTGAAGGGGGGCCCCAGGACACATCTCACCTGTACAGCCCTCAGCTGACCCAATGAGGTGTATGGGGCAGCAGAGGGACAGGGGCAGGCATGACTCGGAATAGGGGAAAGGGGCGTGGGAAGGGAATAAGGGGCATAAGAGGGACAGAAGACTCTGGGGCCAGGGAAGAGACCAGTTGGAGTGTGCTGCAACAGTTAGTTTTGGGACTAACAGGCAGCTAGGAAAAGTCATTGAACTTTATTTCTATATATGACAACAGCAGCGAGACTATTATATGCACAAAAATTACTCACAACAGAGAAATGGTTGGTGAAGATGATGGAACTTGCAGAGATGGCTAAACTTTGATTAGAGAAAATATATTATCTACATTTATTGTTAACGGGAAACCCCTTATGGACTTTTTGCATTAAATGGGGGTGGGGGAATGAAATGATTTGTGGATTTGATGAAGAAGGGGGGGGAATTAGATAATAGAAAAAAGAGATCTTATTTTTGTAATTATAGAGTATGTGTTAAGTTTGTAATTTTACTTATATTTGTCATGGAGAAAATCAGAAGCCATGTATTTATATTATTGAATATATATATTTTATCTCTTTTTATCTCTTTTCTTTGTTTCCTCCAACTTTGTATTTCTATTTCCTTTTTTTAATATCTGTTGTTAGTTTTCATCTTTTGGTTTAAAAATTCTTAATATATTTTTTAAAGTAACTAATTTGTATGCAAATATAATATACTGTTATGGTATACCTTGGGAAAAAACGTAGTCTTGCATATGATTAAATAAATTTATTGGGGCCTTTGTGGGTTTCCCAGTACCAGTTGCTTTCATGGCTCAGAATCAATTGCTTTTGTTTGCATTTTGAGTAAAAAATATCATTAATTGGGTTTGCCTGTGTCCTTTATAAAGTTTATATCTCCAGTACCTGGCATTTCATTTTATGGCACATAAGGCCCGGCCTGACAAAGAGACATTTATGTCATACCCGGCTCTTGTAATAAATTAGTTCGACACCTATGAATATATAAGGAGTCGTCATGCTTGTTGAATCAGTGCCTGTGATTCAGACAGATGCCCCATAACTATGCTTGTGGTAGGATATATTTTATTTTAATTAACCTCATGTTTCCTCCTTGTAATCTACTGTTGAAAATTATTACACATACATAATCCATAGCCACCTTGAACAGGGCTCTGAAGAGCCAGCAGAGACATACCCTAAATAAATTGCACACACCGTAAATAAGACCTTTGGATTGAGTCTGATGTCTTTTATTCAGAAAAGTGTATACTTTTGGATGTCTGCATTCTTATTCCACATCCGCAAATGTAAGCTTATTTTTCCATTAAACAAATTATAATAGCTTCAGTAGCAAGAATATAGATGGTCAACAGTGCAGTCCTAAATAGAATTAAACCCTCCTAAACCCATTGAAATCAATTGGCTTAGAAGGGTGTAACCCTTTTTAGGATTGCACTGACATGGTAAGGTGTACTCCCACTACCAAAACTGTGTCTCAAGTTCATAGACTGACATTTTATAAAAATCAATATCAGTCAGAAATGTCACTACCTCTTTGTGTTGTAACAATTAAGCAAATTGTTTGAATTAAATGTATTATTTTTAATATTCGTTCCCCCATCATTCCAGTAAAGGTTGAAACTTGTATGAATAAGTACTCATGTCATGTGCATGTAATATTATGTAGTGGTAATAGTCTGGCTGGTACTACAAAGGTGACCTTATTTTCAGCCTCTCTTTTTTCCTCCCTTTCCTTCTCTAGTTTTGGCAAACGTTCTGCAGGAAGCTTCAGGCGTGGCTGTGAATGCATTGTTTTAGAGCCATCTGAAATGATTGTGGTAAGCATAATCAGATCAAGATTTGTATTAGCAGATAAGGGAAAATACTTTTTAATATTTGGGTTTTTTATTTCTTTGTCTTTCTCAGTAGTTTAAAATAGCAGTGCTTTTTGAAATGTGCACATGATTTCTTAAAATGGATTGTAATCATCTGTGTACAGGCCAGTGGTATTTAAATACGTGAACATGCAGGATATCTACAGTTTATGAGTGTGAAAGAATTTAAAAGACAGGATGGGTAATGACTGAAACCTCTAATCGGAGCAGTTTAAAGAAATTACACTTATCTGCTAACTATTGACAAAATAGCATACAGTATCTGTGGTGTTATGAAAGATTTCTGCAATATGGTTTGGATTTTTCAGTACTCTGAGATATTTCCAGAGAATCTAATTTATTAAGCTCTGGACTTACATCCTAATACAGAGTTTCTTAAACCCATAATTAAGTAATTAATAACAAAGTACTTAGGGAAACTTTTGCCCAAATCTACAATATGCAATATTTTTCTACCATCTTGTGTAGAATGAGTTTTTATTTATTTACAGCATTCACATCCCACCTTTCTGCCCAATCAGGGCTACCAAAGCTGTTGTAAAGGTAGCTGGAGAATCTCATCACTGTATATGGAAAATTAAATAGCTGTGCTATTATAGTATAACAGAAGGAATGTATCTTCTTAAAAGAGTAGTTAGATTGAAGTCTAGTAGCATCTTAGACACCAACAAGATTTTTGGGGTATAAGCTTTCACCAGTCAGTGCTCCCTTTGTCAGATAGAGCATTGACTCTCGAAAGCTTATACCCTGAAAATTTTGTTGGTCTCTAAGGTGCTACTGAACTCAGCTCTAGTTGTTCTACTGCAGAGCAACATGGCTAGGCTTTGAAACTTTCTTAAAAGAGTAGTTACTAGTACATTAACAATAATTACAGTGGCACTGTTTTCCAACTCCCCCGCACCCCGACACATGAAAGGTACTATTTGTTTTCTTATTTCATCAGCATCTCCATCACAATCTGTTCTAGCAAATTCCAGAGAAGTAGCCATGGTAGTCTTTTGCAGTAAAAACAGGAGTGTTGTGGGATGTTATCCAATTTATTCTGACGTAAACTTTCAGGGACTACAGCCTGCTTCATCTGTTGCAACGTCTTTCAGTCCACAAACGTTTATGCAATAATAAGTCTGTAATGTGCCATACAATACCAGTTGGATCATCCTTTCTAAAGCTCTATTTTTCAAGCTCTGTTTTACTCCAGGCGGATCCCTGTGGGTGCACATTATTTCTTCTATAGGGAGACTGCTGATGATATCTCTGGTGTTGGTTTTCCTCCCTGTTAAAATTACCACATGGATTATTGCCATCTCATGAATCTCCAGGTCTCCCACTTTACAGTCCTAGATACAGATATGGGGTATTCCCAAATGAGTTATTTGCCCAAAGTCCAGTGTTTCTCCAGTTCAATGGTGTGGTTTCCCTGATTTTTGTCTGATCTTTCTCAAACTTGCTTTGCTCCAGAATATTGGGGGAAAGTGTAGCAAAGCTAGGGTGTCTGCTGCGTGGATGGGAAAGTTTGGGTTTTCTTATTCCTGTCCATACAGCAGCCATTTTCTCTCCCTGCAGCACAGGGATTTTCTTTCTTTTTTAAGAAATGTGATTTAACAGTGTTACTGTTATACCAAAATAAATATCAGGTTCTCTGAATTCCCAGCTTTCATTAGAAAAAATCTCTGGTCCATTTCCTTGCAGATATATATGGAAAATGGACTGCAGACTGACTCTTGATACATATTTTAGTATAATGGTATGTCACTATAAAGCTTTCAAATTGCCTTAAAAAAACCTATCAGGGAAACCTGCTGTCTGGAAGCATTGTTACTGCTGTGCTGTATTAGGAGCCATAACAGCATCAGGGAAACCACACAAGCCTGTCCCCCTGTGGAAAGTACCATGAGGAGATTCAATATAGATTCCAATACCACATGATTTTGTGCTGCACTGGACTGAAGTATAGTGACAATAACTTGCAGTGAATGGCCTTTTTATACTGTCGAACAACTAGTAGTTCCTCTGGCATCAGCCACAGTCCTAACCAGTGCACCGGCATTTTTGTATGTGGGCTTTTTACTATCTGTAGAATAGAAATGGCTGTATCTATGCTGCTAAATTAAATGCATATTTTAGATGTTCCTCTTCATGATGTTTGGTTTTATTATTTAACATGATTACATAGAGTCACTGTGCAATTTTTCCTGAAATACTTTCTTTTCAGAGGAAGACATTGTTGCTTTTAGGAATGCTTGCTCCCACAGGATGGGAGTGGAAGATCCCCAATGGCCTTTTGCAATGAGCAGGAAGCATCAAATTCCCTTAAGAAGTATTCGTTTTCAGTGAAAAACTGTGTATGACAGTAAAAAACCCCCAGATGCTTGTTTTAAAAAACAAAACAAAAGCAGGGTGGATTTCTTGTAGAATTTACAAATGTTAGCTAAGTAAATACCCCATGATTATGTAGTGTTGATTCAGTGACGCACTGTTGAAAAAACAGAACCTTTACAGCTAAACTGGTACTGAATTCAGTTAAGGTCCATTTCTTGAGGTCCATTGTACACTAAAATTTGCAGCAGAGAAGCCATCCATAAACTTTTTAAAAATCATATGTGAAAAATGCAACTGCTGAAATTTTATTGCCTATGTATTTTTATTAGGTGGATTATATGGATGAAAATGAAGAATATTTTCAGCGGCAAGCCTCTCATCGGCAGTCTCGAAGAAGGTTTAGAAAAATCAACCAAAAAGGAGAACGGCAAACTATTATTGATACTGTTGATGCCTATCCTTTGGGGAAGCCACCTTTACCTAGAGGTTATCATACGGTAAGCTATTTTCAACACTTTTTGTATAGGTTGTTAAGTCTCACATGGAATAGGCAATCAAGCGTTCTCTATTGGCTGTATATATAGTTAGGTGACTAAAAAAATGGCCATATATACATGCAACGCCATAAAGTTAAATGCCGGATGTACTTTAATAGCTGTGAATGGGAAACGTGCAAGTAAGAACGTGCTGTCCATCTTCAGAATAGTATGGCATCAAAGCAGCTTCAAAACATACTCATCTTTAATCTCCATTATAGAGTGTTGCTTTTTAATGGGAAGGACTTTATCAATAAACTAAATGGTGAAACACTCATTTATATAGATAGTTAAATATTTAAGCACAACATTTGTGTTGGGCTATCATCTCATTAACCCATGTGTTTGCTCTGTCTTCTCAGCATGAGAAATTAAGATTTGTGTGTTATTTCCATAGATATGGCTTATGTGAGATCATATCACTTGACAAATCTGAACCATTGCATTACCATCTGAGAGAGCATTATATCCGCCTTATCTTTGTAGAATAATGATTGCACTTCACAATAGTATGATATGTAGAAACAACAGAATGCAAAACTTGTTTAAACACACTTTCGGAAAATATACTGGGACAATGATTAAAGCTCTGAGACACAAGTTGTATAAAATATTCAGAAGAGGTAGTGATTTCAAATTCCAGTATGTAAATGGAAGAGGAAGTAATCTGATATAATTGTAAGGGACATATATCAAGATGGGTAGTCAAGTTTGTCTGTAGTAATACAAAAGAGCAAGAGTTCAGTAGTACCTTAAAGACTAGCAAAATTTGTGGCAAGGTATGAGCGTTTGTGAGTCACTGCTCACTTCTTCAGACAGCTGAAGAAGTGAGCAGTGACTCATGAAAACTCATATCCTGACATAAATTTTGTTAGTGTTTAAGAAGAGAAGAAGAGAAGAGATTGGATTTATACCCTTCCCTTCACTACCCAAAGGAGTCTCAGAGCGGTTTACAAACTTCTTTCCCTTCCCCTCCCCACAACAAACACCCTGTGAGGTAGGTGGGGCTGAGAGAACTCTTGACAGAAACTGCTCTTTTTCAAGAACAGCTGTGCCAGAGTGATGGCTTGCCAAGGTTATCCAGCCAGGTGCAAGTGGAGGAGGGGGGAATCAAACCCGGTTCGCCCAGGTTAGAGTCTGTGCACTTAACCACTACACCAAACTGGCTTCTGGACTTTTGCTCTTTTCTACTTGTAAAGGACAGTTCTTGAGTACCATATAGCGTAGGGGAAAATGTTGCATTGTATCCAAATAACCATAAGCAGAAGAAAAAATAGCTGTCCTGCAAATGCTTGTGTACCTTGTACAGTAGAATAATGGGGAGTTCTGTTTCTTATGTTTCTGCTTGTGTAATGTCTTGCACAAGTAAGAAGAAATCTTTAGATTCAACTTCTTGCTCAATTTTCTAGCATGAACCATACCATAAGCAGAAGGGTACCTTTAGGTCTAACATTATTATGTGCACATATGCTCAGTAGTGAGCATAATAGCTGCAGACAGTACTGTCATAATAAAAGTTGATACTGAATGTTATCTGTCCATTGCCCATTTACATTTTGTTTCTCCATACAATTGTGTTTCTGTTCTTGTCCAAGCATAGCACTGTGGGGAAGAACAGTTTCCTGAAAATGTCTGTGCAAATGAATCCTAATTGTTTGTAATAATTTCTGTGGGCTAACAGAAACGGCTGTGAAAGGAAATACCTATTTGGGATGCCAGAAGTCTTCATGTGCTCTTTCTGATCCTAAAGTACTGGAGATTTCCTGGTGTGTTCCTTCTTGCTAATTTCCATTTGCAATCAGCCCATGATACAGTTAACATATGAATGTTTGACAAGATCCCTTGCTAACTGCAAAGACTTTTCTCTGATACCTTATGAACATCTTGTGTACCAGCTTTTACATGTTTTGTATGTACAATAAGAAAGCTTGTGCAACAAGAAATTTATTGTGTAGTTTATGAAATTTGGGGTTAGGTCAAAATGATTTTATGATGAAGACCTTAATTTGGCTCAACTTGATTCTTCTTATATGGATTTGTGATGTACTAAGAATGCATAGTTCTTGTTGCTCCAGTTATAGAACTAAAAAGGGGCTTTTAAGATTTATGTTCATATTTTGCATTTATAAGTAACTCAAGATTTATTGGTTTATTGGAAGATGTGCTTTTCTAAACACATGCGCTAAAGAGCTTCGATTTGGCTATGGCTCCCTGATATGTGGATGCTGCAAATGTAGAGATGTGAGTCTCTTTTTTGTGTGTACACACATAGGCAGCAAAACACAACTAGCATGTAAAGTGTGAATTGCCTCTCAGAGGACTGCCCCCCCATTTATAATATTATGGAAATAGTTGCTGAGACAAATATGTGACATATTGGTATCAAAAAATGACTATAAATAGTGAATATTGTACAAGCACAAATAAATATTTTGAAGATATTTATCAAAATAAACAATTTAACAAAGAGCTTCCACTAAATTATGGGTTGGATTCCTGCAGAAAAATTCACAGGAGGAGTTGGTGGAGTGGATCTTTCCTCACCTCTTTAGTCAGCTTCCTGTTTGCTTTAAAAATCCTTTTAGAGGCTGGAAGAACCTCACAAAGAAAGTGCACCACAGTATGGGTGCTGCAGCAATGAGAGGGGATAATTTCCTTCTCTCTCTTCTGCTGGAAGCGTTCATCTGTGAAGGAGGGCAAAGAGCAATTTTAGTTAATTCCTGCTTCTGCTGATTGCTGCAGTGACTGGTACTGTGGCACATTTTCCTTGCAAGATTCTCATGACTCTTCAGGATATTTGGAGCAAACACAATGCAATTGAGGGAAGGAGAAGGTAAGGAAATGTCAACTCTGCCAACTCCTGTGAAATCGTGGGCTGGATTCAGCCTTATCTTGTACATTATATTCAGTGGCTGTATGGCTCTGACAAAATAAACCCCAAAGTCCGTTTAGAAGCTTCCTTACATTATAACATTATTTTTATAGTAGGTGGAATATATATTAGCACCACTGATAATGTTCATCTTTTCCTTTCCTCCTATATGGCATTCATTTCATTTTGGCTCACAGGAATGCACTAAACAGCAGGTATTGTAACTTCTGTGTATGGTCCTCTAACTCTGTACCTTTCCCCTCAGTTTGCAGTGTGACTAATGTTGAATTCTAGTTGCTAAATTTCTGTTGCATCCCTTCTGTTTTATTACATGTTATATACAGTATTTAGGTGTTTGTTTTTTAAGGTAGAGCTGGGTGACAATACCATTATCTCCATTTCATGGTAATCTTTTTTAATCCATTGCCTTTGTGGCATATTGTGTCTTGTTAGAAGTTATGTGGCATTCAGCATTTAACATATGGGAATGATGAAATAGTTAGTGTTGAATGGGGCAGTCTTTATTTATGTTCTCAATATTGTGTTCAGTCTTTGAACATCCATTCCCCTGCTGTTGTCCATATCTTACAGTTCATTTATTGTTTTTTGTAATAAGACATTTATAGAATCCCAAACCATAGATTCTGTGTTTATTAGCACTGATTTAAGCTGAATGTTTATAGGACCGTCTGTTGCAAAGTAAATATTTCAATTCATCTTTGTATACCTAAAACATATTATACAAACTCTCTAAAATATATTATATAAACTGCATGTTATTAATATATGGACGGTACTGAATAGGGGTGTGCAAAAATGGTATTTTTCGGGTTTGGGTACATTAAACCCGAATAATATTGGTATGTCCTGATATTCCCAAATCCCAATACTGTTATTAAGATTTGGTCAATATTCAGGATTGTTGATTTTTTCAGTTCCATTATACCCTATGGAGACCATTGTATAGTCAATGGTCCCCATAGGGTATAACTGAGAATCGAGCTGGGGTTTCTGGGGCTTTGTGAGAGCTGTTTTTTTCAGGTAGAGGCACCAAATTTGTAGCATAGCTGCTACAAATCCCCCAAGTTTCAAAAAGATTGCACCGGGGAGTCCAATTCAGTGGGCCCCCCAAAGAAGGTGCCCCCATCCTCCATTGGTTTCAATGGAGGAAAAAGGCATTTAAAGGGATCACAGTCCCTTTAAATGCCTTCTCCAATTGGGGAGTTCACCCAGAAGGCATTTAAAGGGACTGAGCTGAATAAATAGCCCACTCGCTGTCTGGCTGAAAAAATATCTTCTAGACCACCTCTCCCCATATGAGCCCTGGAGGGCATTGTGTTTTATGGTCCCTGGCCCTAGTGATGTCTGATTTGCCTCAACTAAGGCCAGGGCTCCTGCCTGGTGGAATGAGCTCCCATTGGCAATTAGGGCTCTGTGAGAGCTTTTACAGTTCTGCAGGGCTTGTAAGATGGAGCTCTTCCACCAGGTCTTCAGTTGAGGCAGCGGATATCCAGCTCAATCTGGCCTCCCCCCCCACTCCCCCCAATGAGTTGCACATGTCTGTTAAGGTATAATTTATTTTAAAGTATTTATTGCTGTAATTATTTTATTGTATTTATTGTATGTATTTTGTTATCTTGTTTCTATTGTTGTAAATATGTACTCAGCAAATTATCATAGATTGGAACCTGTCCTGAGTCTGCTTTGTGGGGAAGGCAGGATATAAATTGAAGGAAATAAAATAAATATTCTGAAAGTACCAATACAGTATTTTTTCAGCTTGGTTTAACTGAATGTAGACCCTAGAGCTGTGGAAAATCTAGTATTCCCTAAATACTGTAGAGAAAAAAGCAGAATGACTGGTAGCATTTTGTTCTAGTCTTAAGCACTGTGAGATTTCTTTCTGAATATGTAATATCCATTACATGACACATGTTAAAATATCATTTAAAGTATGTGAATTCGCAGGGGTTAGCATGATTTGAAATGTACAATCTGTGTGGCATATTTTATGATAAGAATTGATACCAGTGCTTTAACTTTTGTAAAATTCTTAGGGACTTGGCATTATGATGGTATTAAAAAGTTCATCCATATGTTTAATACATGTAGTCTTGTTCTTAAAACATGTTATAGCTGGGGAACCCTTTGTAAATGAGAGATGGAGAACAGGAATTATTGCATTTTATTATATTAATCCTGGTTGGTGAATAGAAAATAGCAATTCCATAAATTAACCTATAGATAATCTGATATCTGAAACTGTTTCAGGCAGCCGCAGGAGAACTCTAGAATTATGTTGGCACTTCCCAGGCTCTTAGCCTCTCTATGTCTGCCCTTTTTTTGGCACAGATAGTTATCTCCAGTGCCACTTGGAATTTCCCCAGGCCTTGTCCTATGCAGAAGTTCCACCATTATTAACATTTGACACCTCTGTTTTTGAGCACTTCCTATGTTTTTTTCCCTCATGCTCTATAGTATCACAGTAGCAGATATGACCCATTTTTACTTCATTTACATGTCTGTATGTGATGGAACTGATAGTAACTACAATAAACCTTTGAAGTGTGCTGCTCTGGATATATGCTGATTCAGAGGCCTTTATCTTGGAGATTTGGTTTTGGTCCGATCTTTTTGCTAATGAAGTTTAAGCAGGAACACTTGAGAATCAAGCCTTCCACAAAGTTTAAGCAGGAATAGGCCCCATTATCAAGTTTTCCTTTTTAAAGAAGGTGCTTACCTCTGGCAGCTGGGCCTCCTTGGTAAGGCTGTGTGTTACAATGTAATTCATTGCCACTTGAGTTGGTGATTTAAATGTGAACAAGCCATATATGTAAATTAAAGGTTTGTATTTAGTGAAAAGTTGTACTATGCCAACAAAACAAGACCTCTAGGCATAGAAGGGGAGGAGAGAGTTTTCAGTTAATATAGGTTTCTAAACCTGAACAATCTTTGTGAATTGCCAACTTTAGAAATTGTTTTTAAACCCATGTTCCTCCATAATCTGGACATAAAAGCTCTGCTGGATCAGTCTAATGGTCCATCAAGCCCGGCATCTTGTTTCACTCATTGGCCAGCCAGTTGCCCCGGAGGGTTCTCAGGGCATAGAGCCCCAGTCCTTCCCCTGATGTTTCCTCCCTAGTATTGGTAATTAAAGGTTTGCTGCTTATGAATCTGGAAGTTCTATTTAGTATTTGGAGGCAGTGTCTGCAGTGAATATCTTCTGAATGATCTTAGCAGAGCTCTGTTTGCTGAAGGCAAGGAACTTGTGTCTCTAATTTTTTAAAAAAATAAATTGGTAATTAAAGGTTTGCTGCTTATGAATCTGGAAGTTCTATTTAGTATTTGGAGGCAGTGGCTGCAGTGAATATCTTCTGAATGATCTTAGCAGAGCTCTGTTTGCTGAAGGCAAGGAACTTGTGTCTCTAATTTTTTTAAAAAATAAAAGGTTAAGACCTCCTCACTTCTCCTGAAATATGCAGTAGTTCTGAGATCACCATGGTGTCCCCCAGCACTTTTCCTTGCACCCAAGTGTTTTAGAAAGTGAGTGGCACCAGGTCAGGCTCAGGCCGTTAGAGATCTGATTGGCTGTGTGGATTTAAAAATAAATTGCTTTCACAGCACCTGCCACCACAGCATAAGGATCTTCACTGTGTGTAAGCAATACTTTTAAACTATATGTGAAAATACTTTTAAACTGTTCATTTTAAAATACATTCTTTTAAGCAGAGTTTCTGTCAGAAATGTTGAAAAATTACTTTGCATAACCTCACTTCCTGAAATTTTGTGGCTGGCTCTCCCTCCTGTGGTAGCCATTTTGTGGTTAAGCCCACAAGCCCTGTGTCAGGATTAACCTTGTGTCAGAATTCCAAATGTAGCTGCAGGCTCAAAAAGGTTTGGCATCCCTGAACTAGTCACTAGTGTGAAGGGAAGTATTACTGGGTGCTCTTGCGTTCAGAGTTGCAGGCTTTACAGTCTAGTCCTGATTTTGGGATTTGCAATGTTGTATGGCACCATAAAGTTGGTAACATTTGAAGAAGGGATTCTTAAACCTTAGACGTAACTGTTTAGGAGGTGAAGATATGCATTAGTTCAGTGGAGATGACTATATCATTACTTTTTATATAAGAAAAAAGTAAAGTGTTCAAAGCTGTTTGTGTAAAGTATCTTAATATGTTTATTTTGCACTAGCATCTTACAGATTATACAAAAAACAGAGGATTGTACAGTAGGTCATATAATAGTAAAATACTTTATATCAGATTTCTGCAGCTCCTTAAGTACAGCTTAAAGACAGTGTTGAAAAGCAAAGCCAGAGCATGAGTTTACTTCCTTAATAAGGTCTGCATATGGGGGGGGGGGAAAGAACCATTTTATTTACTTCACTTATACCCACTGGGGACACATAGGGGTATACCATTCCCCCTTCCTCCATTTTATCCTTATAGCAACCTTGTGAGCAGTATTCCCTCTAAGCTGAGTTAGTGTGAGCTAGCTCACAGTTTTTTGCCTCTGGCTCACACATTTCTGTCTTAGCTCAGGAAGGATGGCTCCAGAGCAAACTAATTTATGCAGCAGCCAAATCACTCACTCACAACTTTAATGCCAGTAGCTCACAACATAGAATCTTTGCTTACGTGACTCCACAGTTTAGAGGGAGCATCGCCTGTGAGGTAGGTTAAACCTGAGTGTGTGTGATTGGCCCTGTCATGGATTGAGAACATTCTGAGATGGGCTAATATTTATGGAGATGGACTGATGTTTGTAATGAGGCTAGGAAAACCCTAATTTCCCCCAGAGTTGATGTTTTCACATCCTGTAGGGGACATAAGGAATACCTCTGGTGTGCTGAGTTCTGGTGGAGCCTCTGTGTAGTCAGGACTCAGATTGGCTAGGACCTTTCTATACATGGTGGGGGAAGAGAATTGAAAAGGAGCTGCTCTTTCTTTGTGGTTATGTGCAGGGCTTCAGAGTTCCAGAACTTCTTTGACAACATTTCTTTTAAAAATGTTTAAAAGTTCATGAGTTTTCAATAAACAGATTGAAAACTTAATTTCCCTCTTGAGAGCTCTGGCACCTCTTTTTTTTTTTTGTAAGGCTTGGTTATGTGTGACTGTTGGGGGAGCACATCCATGCAAATGACAGCTGGAGAGCATGCTCTTTATGCATACACCCGTTTGCATCTTCTGCGTGGGAGGGAAGAGCAGATGCCTGGTCCTATAGTTTCCATGTTAAGATAGAAATCTTACTATACTGTAATC